TCTTTTTCTTTTTCTTTTTCTTTTTTTAATGTAAATGCCAATAACGAGTAAAATTTCCATTACGTCTCACTCCACTCCAGACCAATCTTTATCTTCTCATCCCCTCGACTTTAACCACAGAAATTTATTAGTATTCAATGCTCCTTATATACAAGATACAATGCCAAATTTAGTTTGTTAATCTCTGCACCAATCCTGAGATATTAAACGAAATGACCCCCAACACACATACACTAACACAAATACACATAGGCCTATATATATATACACCTCCGCGGAATTTTTTCCTGTTTTTGTTTTTTATTGTTTTGGTTCAGAGATGTCAAAACGTCGAGATTTTCGAAGAACCCGAAGGGTCAAATTTAACGCCACTACAATACTTTCTCGTGTTATGTATTAATACATAACACTAGAGAAAGTAAAAATAATTATTTTATAAATTTGATCGAATTAACTGATAAAAATTAAATTATTTGTGACGATTTTTAAGCTAACATATTCTATAAAATTTAGCTTCTGTCTCAAGTAAGCCGCATCCATAATTTGGGAACTTCACTCAAACGTGTGATGCATAATAACTTCAAGAGATAACGTTGTGAGTTAGTAATTAAAGTGTTTATAAATAACAGTGTTGTATACGCTGATAATAATAATAATAATAATAAAACTAAATATAGTTGAAAATACATGTGATGCATATAATTATATATTTTTTTATTTATTTTTTATTATAAAGTTGTAGCATGCTAAATATTTTTTACACTTTTTTTTTTATTAATTAATAAATTATGTAGAGGATAATAAAATTGCAGAAATTTCATATAATTTCCTTTTATTATGCATAATAACTTTAAATTATAGTTAATGAGATTCATTAAGTATTAAATATGTTCTTAAAAATGATTAAAATTAATTACTTTTTAAAATACTGAATAATTAGTTATGTTAAATTATATATATTTAAATAAGTTATTTATTTAATCGAAGCGGTTATAATGATGTTTCTAAACCCATTTTAACATTTGTAATTTGTCTACAGAGGAAATTCTGGAGACAAATTATATCTAGAAAATATACGAAGAACTTTTTATATAAGTAATAAAAACAATTAACAATAGCAAGATCAACTTTTTATTTCAGAAATGTTATTCTACATCAAAGAAAATAGTGAACAATACTTGTACAAATCACTTAGCTTTGACTCAATGGACGGCCATTCGTTGCCTGCTAACGCCACCTGTCGGTGAAATGGAGAACTAAAAGGCTCATATATATATATATATTTTTTTAACATATATATATGTATATAATATACTCTAGTAAAAATTTCGCATGTAGCAAAGATAGAAATATATTTTCTTAAATATTTAGAAAGTGACAAAATATCAGATAAATAACAAGATAACAAACAGCATTTTGATTTAAATTCTACATTTATTTATACTAAAATCCTAACAATATCGTAGAATTTTTATTTAAATATTTTAACAGTTTATAACTTCTGTTTTTTTTTCTAAAAAAATTGCTTAATTTTTTTGATTTTCTCTCGTATTAGTTAAACATCAACAATTCATCAATAACAATTCATCAACAATTCATCAATATATTTTGCCACTTTCAAATTTTTTCCATAACTTTCTAACTGATTTAACAATTAGGGAGTTTAAACCCTTAAAATTTTAAAATTATAACTGATTTTAAAATAATTAATTCGGCTTTTTTTTAAAAAAATCAATTTTTTTTTTCAACTTTCCAACATTACTTTTAGTACTCCTACGTTTCTTTCAATCAACAAATGACAGAAAAACAGTTTATATATATATATATATATATATAATTCAGCTTATATAATCAACATCAGGCCTATAAAAGCTCTGAGAAACATTTTAACAATAAATTAAACAATGATTTTTTTCTTGTTTTTTTTAGTGTTTTATAACGAACTATACAAAGTGTAGACTTATACAAGATGATTCGAATCCAATCTTCTACATCTTTGGCTTTCTTACACTAAAAAATACATTACCCTGAAATGTATTGCCCTATATGGCTGCAGCAATTTTCTACAGTAAAATACATAGAACATGAATCATATGGACTATTTTACATTCTTCGAGTCCATTGAATAAGACATCACAGTCTGAACCAACTCGTGGCTGGAATTTTTCTACAAAGTTAAGCATATTTATACGTAACGTATGCACAATAATAACAGAATCCATAGACTAAAAATGTAAATACCTAATAAATCTATACAGTAACAAAAGTCTTATATATATATACACACATATATAAGTTCTTGGACTAGATTTGAAGTCTTCAAAACTAAGGAAGACTTTTGATTATTAAATCAAAAACGTCGTGGAAGACGTAATATTTTCTTTAGATGGCATTTTTCTTTTTGTTTTTTTAGATGGTGAATTGAAAAAAATAAAGAATTTTCATCTTTTGAAGAGATACTTATAACATGGCTAAAGTGAAGTAGTGACTTCCTCAATAACATCTACGCTGCAAACTGCTCTTGGACCTCTTCTTACTGAACTTACCAAAACTGTATCTTTGCATTCTTCTTGATTGGCAATTTGACGTTGGCAGTTTGGGCATTGCTCGAATGGAGTTATTACACTGACTTTTTTCATGGGTTTTGTACGTCTTTCGAGGGCTTCTTGAGTCTTATTCAAATTATTTTCATATTCACTCAACATTAAAAATTTCTCTTCCTTATTGCATGAAGTAATGCAATCGAGTTCATCCAGGATGTTATCCATTACTACTTCTTCAGATATACATGTCAGTTCTGGTTTTTTGATGTCGCCATAATTACTGAAAGTAAAACTTCTTTGATTAAATCGTTTTAATTGGGCATTGCTTCCATTCATTGAATCTTGATACGATGATCTTCGACTTTGAGGATGGCTATAACATGAATCTGAGCATCTTCTATCATTATCTGTAAAGATACTCATTTTTCTCTGTTGAACTTTCCATTTATGTACGTCGATAAGAAACAAAGTGATGCTACCTAAAAGTGTCAGAGCAGATGATAAATAATAACCAGTTTTGTAGCCATATTTTTCATTCAAGTATCCTGGTAAGAGATAGAGATATATATATATAAAATTAATTAAATAGAAATAAAAAAAATTAAATAACTGCAAATAGATTGTACCTGTCAAAGGAATACCAATTACATTGGGCAATGCTTGACACCATTGCACGAATCCCCATGCTCTTGCAAAATTTCTAGCTCGAACTTTTTCGAAAGTGAACATCTTTAGCGAGTAATGATATCCTCCATAGAAGAGCCCATATATCCATACAAATAAAACATAACCGTTATATTCTTCCAATGCCGTGAATGCCAATAACGAGACTCCAACCATAAAAGAAGCAGCTTGGCATAAATATTGTCTAGCTATCATACATTGTACACTGTTTTTAACAACAACGAACCCAAAAGAGGCACTTCCCAGTATAACAGCGAGTCCAATAAACGCTTGAAGAACGAGAAGAGATTGATTATCGATGCCTTCTCTTTCTCCTTGATAGATCTGTAAGTAAATTAATTAAATAATAATTATACAATTCGTCTCATAAGATCATTTATATTGCTGATATATACGTGTATATATACATATATTCCTATCTAAATATATCAAAGAGAATTTTACGACTAGGAATTTGCATGGAAGATCTTTCACAAAAACTGACGAAACTTGTTTGAAAATTTTAACATTTCCGATTATGGAAGTAGATCTTTAATCCTCTGGTTCCGTGACGTCAAATTCGGATGAGTTTTAACGACCCTTACTAGAAGAAAAAGTCATAAAAATGTTTATTGTTTTCCGCACATCTGATTGTGGAAGACTTTTACAGACAGTGGTTTTAACTATCCAAAATAGTAGGTCTCTCCTTTATTTTCTCCATCAAGATTCTATTTTTTTTTGTTCGTAAAAGGTACTTTAGAGAAAGAATAGAATATTATATATATATACATAAATTTAGTTTTATATTCGAAAAAATATAGTTGCGTGCAACTTGTTTGAAAAATTGTTTTTGAGTCTTCATCATCAACTGAACGTCGATAGAAACGGGAATATATTTTTAATAGAATAAATAAATTTGAAATATTGTAGTTTAATAGAAAAATCAAAGTACTTACTAACAGGAATATAGGTACATTAATACCAAAGGCAGCGAAACAAGTTCCACACATCAAAATTTGAATAGTTCTGGACTTGAGCACTCCAAAATCAAAGAATGGTGGTCTTTCTTTATTTGAACTTTTATCTTTTGCCTTAGAGCGTTTTTGTAATCCTTTTAAGTGAAGGATCGCTCTTCTTTGAGGATGATACAGTGATGCTGGTCGATAAAAGATTCCAAGTATGAATGTGACGAATACTAGGCCCGTCACAGCTTGAAGTCCTAGTCTCCATCCTATAGAACTGTTTAAAAAATAAGTTAAATAAATTATTTAAAAAGAAAATACTGTATATACCATTAAATAGCATTATTGAGTATTTGAAAAATTTATTATTTTATTTTATTTATATATATAGGCCTATATTTTTTTTAATTTAATATATTGTAACCTTTATAAATATTTTCTTGATCGGCTCGTAAAAAAGGATGAGAGGTTTGATTATTTTTATGTATAAGAATTTTTACATCCGTTACTTCTTCTAATTTGCTGAAAAATATTTTTCTGAGTCACAGAAGCATCTTTGAAAACGAATTTATAAATAACACAAGATTTTTATTATGGCATCTTTACAATCGTAAAATGCTGAATATGCTCCTTTAGTAACACGTTTTTTGAGGAAGAAAACATCATTATATTTATTTCAACGTTCATTTATCATTTGTAAAAATGTAAATTTAAATATAAACTTTATACAAATTTAAGTACTTTATATAGAACTATATTACAATGTCTTATAAATGTAATATCTAATCTAGTGCTTAGTATAAAAATTGAATAGACCTGATTTATAGAAATGCTAAATAAGTTATATAGCTTAGGGTCTTCTTACTATATCTTCTAGGATATAATGTATTATTATTTGAAGGGAAAAGAGCCTGTTATATGTTATAGATTAAAGCTATAAGAAGTTTAAACACGGCCTATGTTAGAGATAAAAGATAAATTAAAATTACTGATTTGTTATCATATAATTTACAATATAATTAAACTTTTAAATTAATAAATTAAAACTTTTTCATGATCTTTAACAATAGGAGACATAATACACCGTAGATAATACATAATTAAACCGTAATATCTGTATTTGTTTTCATTTAAACAATGGTTACACATAAAAAAAATTTATATTTAAAAAATGTGAGTAAAAAAATGAGGAATTTGTATATTAATCTTTAAGAGAAACATTTTAAAATAAATTTTATACCATTGAATTTATTATTGAAAAATTACCTAAATACTTACTTGATAGTTCTAGTAACAAATATAGGCATCAGAGCCATTCCGATACCCATTCCAGCGAAGACAATAATTTCTACAAGTTCTCTTTTCCTTTTGAAATATTGTCCAACCATAATTGTGGAAGTATCTCTTACCATACTGACTCCACATCCTACTACGATACCATAACTGAAGTAAAGTTGATGAAACTGTGAAGCAAAGGAGGTGAAAAGATACCCAAGTGTCGTTACTAAACCTCCTAAAACTGCCAGTAATCTAGTACTTTTCCTTCGACAAACGGCAATAATCACAGGTGAAAGGAATAATGTTACTGAAGTTGACATTGCTCCTAACGATACTAGGATTAAAAAAGAAAATTAAAGAAATAAATTTCTTAAATAATTTATGATTTTTGAATAAATTAAAAAGAAATTAATTTAATTTTCATTATCTCCTTGGAAGATTCACGAAGAACTTTTATGTATTCCTTAGATGTTATCGTATGAAGCTTACAAAATAGGTCATTTTTGAGGATGCTTCATAAATATTAATGTCATAGACCTTGTATATGTTACTCGTTACTTACCTATAGGCCATACCCACGCTAAAAATTTATTATTCAACTATTTTAAAGCCATATTTTACCTTAAATTATATTCAAAATTTATAATACTTTTCTATATAAACTTCTGCATACAAAATAGTAATTTTTATTTATTTAAAAGAATAATTAAAAGTAAACAAGCTTTAAAATCAATTTAAAATTAAAAAAAACAAAACAAAACTAATTAAACTGATTTAATTTAAGTTTTCGATATAAAGGCAATCCATTTAAATGTCTACATATAATAAATGACTTTATACCGAAGATGATTAATCAATAAAGAATATTATTAATGTGTAATTCCCTTCTTCTTATTATTATTATTTATTATTTATATATATATATAAATATCTTTAATCTATAGTTCTTATTCAGTATGATAAATTACATCTTAAAATTTCACTTGATATTGATATTCTGACAGGATCAATAATATGTAAACATTTTTGATATAATTTAAGATTACAAATGTTAGATTTTTCGACATCGATTTCGATTTAAACTTCAACATCAGATTTCTTTAGAAATAAAAGAGAAAAATCTTTCTATTTTTTTTCATCATCAACAAATCATTCAATAGTCAAATCTGTCTTCATTTCATCCATAAACTAGGTCTATACGTTATTTTTATTATTGGCCATTTATAAAAAGTTTATTCTTTTTCCTATCCAGTACCCGAATTTCTAGCAAAAATATTGATTTTTCTTGATAATTAGTGTGTTACAACTTCTATATCCCAAAGCTAGTCGTTCCGACATAGATACAAATAAACACTTCTAGCACATCTAGTAGATCTGTACAATCTCTTTGTCCCTCGAGGCCTGATTCTTTCTCTCTATGTGATTAATCTGACTCATGATTTAACTTCGACACCTACATTGCAGCCTTTTGATAATTGTAACTGTCCTGATTTCCTTCATGTAGGTGGGGATTATAGTTAAGAATGGAGTTGTTAATCACTTTGTAAATTATTTTCATTAAAAGTTTATTTAAAAATAGAAAAATAAAATTAAGATTTAACAAGAGACGAAAGTTATACACAGTTCGAATTTTCTCTAATTTATATATATATATATATACACGAATACATTTGTGTTGAATCACAAGTAGTAGCTAATTGTTCCATTCTAAATCCAGTAAAAATTGAGTGCTCCCAAACGCCTCCTAANGGATATTAGTTTAATTTATTATATATATATATATACGGATGATCGATCCTCGAAAGAACTTCTATAGCCTATACATTAAAAAAACACAATCGCAGAAATAGGACATCGCCCACAAACGCCAACTATTATAGTAAAGAATGAAAGAAGATAAAAAAATAAATAAAAAAAACTTGCTCGTCCCATTTCGGGAGATTCAAAACGTCTAACACACACACACACACACGTGAAGCGAGCAACACCTGCAGGCTTTGTCATTATACCTCACCCCAACTGACGCCCCAATGGTGTCAGCATTCAGCCTAATGATGCCCTTATAGCAATTAGAATATTTCTTGAATTTTGGGGTGGTTCTTCGACCCACTAATCTTATCGTCACGTATTTAAAAATCTTCTCTTTAACATTCATTTTCAGACAATTTTGTTTGTTTCTGATTCATTACCTAGTCATTAGATTTTAAGAAATTATTATTTCTTAATTTACAAATTGAAGATTAATTATTGTAACTAAATCTTTAGCATCATCTTCAGCATCACACTAATTAAATTTTTTATAAATAAATTTTTATTATTATTTCTATACTCATAGTTATTGTTAATTAAAACAATGATTTAGGCCTACTATTAATATGCTTTTTCTTTAAGCTATGAATGCATTTTTTAGTCCAATAATAAATTTTATGATACATTAAATGACTTTAATAAATCATTACTTAAATTATATAAGATATTAATATTTCATATAATAAAGTAACAATTGGCATATTTTATTTATTTATTTATTTATGTTTTAACGAGAACATTAGAAAAAAAAAAGACTTCTTTTTAGTCTTTTAAACGTTAATTAACTGTACGTCAACATAATTTAAAACATTTTATAGGAATTATTTTATATGCAAATCTATAAATAATTAGCTTATTATTAGATGGGTACATAGTTCGAAATTCTGTTTAAAATTTAAAACATGTTTCTAAAGATATCAGGTGTTATCAGAATAGTTTTAAAACAAGGCATTAAACGGTCAAACATCTTGTTTATTTATGTTTTTTCTCTATCAAACTACCGAAAACCAATGTACGTTAATTCTATAAAAACCAGCATATGTTATGTATATCGGACGGTGAACATGATATATTATGATATACATAAACCTGTTTATTTACCACCTGTGAGGTGCTACATCTTGCGAAATGAAATAAAAGTCCGTTGCAAGACCCTCAGGGTGTTACACAGCTAACTAAAGATATTCATTCATATAGAATGTAAGATAGAATGTATACATATTATATACACATATAAAGCATTGTATATTATAAAATATCAACTTTTAAGAGCTATTTACGGAATTTTATGCACATATATAATAAATTTCTTCATATATAACGGGTGGAGTGCGTTCACACCTTCTACGAAAGGTTTCGGGGTGACCTTAATGACTTTTCTAACCGTTATTCAATTGTTTTTATTTTAAAAATATGTAAAAATTTTACATCCAAATAAATTTATAATTAAAATTCCTAAAATTCTAATAAATATTTTTCTAAATAATTATAATATATTTATAAAGAAGTGTAATTTGGGAGGAGGACGAATTAATGTGAGAAGAGTAACGTTGTCATTTGTATAATTACACTGCAGATATGACATATTTCTGTCTGCTTTATTATGAATCGCTATTGGTGCTATCATTCATGTGTAAATTGTAACCCATTCCGCATACCGATTCTAAACTAATAATATTGTTTAACAAGTCTGTAACAGTTAGGCTAATGAATATTATATGCAAATAAACAGGGAGAGTATAATATTAGCTACTGTATTTATGCAGTCACTTTTTTAACATTTGATACGGATCCAANTTATTCAACTTAACGTACATAAAATATAGATTTTTATATTCTAGAATGGAGACTCATTTTATTATAAATAAATTTTACTCTGATTTATTTATTAATACGCTCTATTAAATATACAATATTAAGAGCTAATAACTTATTATACATTCTAAATTGTTTCTCTGTATAAGAAAAAGAAAAAATAAATTCTTTAAATTACTTTAAAATAGCTTGTAAAACAGTAATTTGTGGCTTATATAATTGTAGAAACTGTACATTTGATTATAGATTATAGTTTTAATAGGTTATGGTATTAATATATATATAATATAAGCATATATTTTATAGGCCTAATAAATACATACATGACTAAAACGGGACAGAAACAAGTATAATTCTATTAATTTTTCAGAATATTTTTCGGACAGACAAACAAACAACCGAGAAACTTCAATATAATGCAAAATATAATTGTTTAAACATGTATTTTATATCTTAATTTAATCTGTAGCTATTATTTTAAGATATAGAATTAAATTATTAAGCGAAGTATAGAAATAAATACAGTAAAAATTATAAAGATGTAGGCCTGCCTAGTCTATAAAATCACCACAAAATTCATTTGATTAGGTTTGTTTATAATATAAATATTTAAATAGTAAATTCAATTATATATTAAATATCTTCGATTCGAAGACAATAAATTACTCGTATACTGTATATAAATTCAATAGAAATATATTCAATTTTAATAAATCTAAAGTTTAAATACACTCGGTATCAAGAGCCTACACCCTTTATAACTAATTTGATCAAGATTTGTAATATATAAAGTGTAAATTCCCTCAGTAGAATATTAAATAACTCTGCAATCTCTTAGCTATTTTCCTATTAGGCATTTTATCTAATTCAGTTGTTAGTTGCATCTTTCACTTCCTGTCAAGATAGGATACATTATAAGGTATATGATCAAAGTACAATATTATATATATCCTAAGGTTTCAGATTAGAGTTATTCTATCCGTTTATTAATGTTGATGTTACCATGTGACACCGTTAATCTAACAATCTCTATACTCTATATACAGTACCGGATCTTCGTGTATGTTAAGTGTATGGATATAATCACATGCACCCTTTTCTTTACTTGAATTTCATTATAAAATATTATTAGGGTATATGTTTGACCCTTTCTGATTTATCTACCAACATTAAAGTAATTTTTAAACAGAATATCCCGTTGAAACAATCGAATAAATTTTCAAAGAATAGATCTTAACAACTCCATTACTTGGATACGCCTATCATTTCGTTGAAATAAGCTTTATTTTATCCTTATCAATACGCTAAACTTTACTTTTAATATATAATTAAAGCTCTCTAGTTTTAAATAATTTTAATTTTATAATAATTTCTTTCCTATTTTAAATATTAACACGTTATAAACGTCACAACGGGCGCCCTCAGAGGGGACGAACCTAGCACTTCCCCCTGGGATCCAGTAAAAATTTTTTTTCTTTATATTATTAATTTATATACATTATATATATATTTTTGTATTGATAAAATACTGTCTTCTATAATTTATTTGTGGGGGGGGAACCCCAAAAATTAAAT